GTAGTAGTAGTAGTAGTAGTAGTAGTAGTAGTAGTAGTAGTAGTAGTAGTAGTAGTCTTAGTAGTAGTAGTAGTAGTAGTAGTAGTAGTAGTAGTAGTAGTAGTAGTAGTAGTAGTAGTAGTAGTAGTAGTCGTCGTAGTAGTAGTAGTTCCTGGCGCCCCTCCTGCTAATTTCTCCCGTGTTTCATTCTTCTCCCTCCCCCTTCCACCCGTCCTCTAGTTTTTTGGTTTTAGGGGCTGCACTACATGCACGTGGCAGATAAGGAAGATATACACCCAAGGGGATACGATCGAAGACGACGAGGGCGGGTACCGAGGGTTTGGGGAATACGTATTGATTGGCACGTGAGCAGATAGGAACGAACAGTCTTAACATGATTGCTGTTGTTGTTGTAGCCGCGGGGGGCGACAACGCAGTTTGAGCAAACATATGTTCCTTCAAAGAAAACAGCGTGCGAACCCCGAGGGGGGCACTCCAATTGAAATACACAATGTGACCGGTGGGGGTGATCAACACTTTCTTCAATAAGGATATTCCAGCAACAATTTGTTTGCCGTCATGCGCCATGCTCCATCCACACGTAGCCATGATACCCCCCCCTTCAGGGAACTGTTTGAAAAGGGGGCCGATATTCCCACGTCCAGATCTCCCGCCCAACAGTGTTGAGCCAACGCCTCTCCCGAGACAGATGTTCTTCCTCCGCTCGCACGACACGTAAAGAGCAACGCGACGATCGGGAGCGGTGAGGGATCAAAACATGAAGACTTCGAGCTTCAGGAGCAGGGCGATATGCAGGAACACACGTGGAACGTTATGGATTCGAGCCCAAGTCGAAGGGAATCTACAAGAACATACGCAAACACGCGAAGGATCCGAACCCATCCGAGGGGCACTCCGTAGGAATATGCGTAAACACACATGGACTCGAACCCGGGGGGAAGGGTATTCTATAGGAACGTAGGCAGAGCACAACGAACTCGAGCCCCAGGAGGGGGGCAGCAAAGTCTACTTTACGGGAGGCCGAAGAGCATTCCCCGAGCACAGATCCCAATACAGGAATGAGCCTCCTGGGGCCTTCTGGGGGCAGGGGGGGCGAAAACCGCTCCCCGAACACATGTATTCTCGCAACACAGAAAAGCGTTTCCTGGGGCCTCTCTGGCTTGGGCCTCTCGGTGTAAACTGTGAGGACGTATTGCGCGGGAGCGCTGTTGCTGTTGGGGGGGCCGGTTTGGGCGCAACCCCGAAACGCTCGAGCGTGAGCCTCGCTTTCAAAGGAATCGCACTCTGCGCAGCGGCGAGAGCGCCGAAGTGCCTGCAGGGGTCCAAACGTTAATAATTGCTGAGTAGTTCGCGCTCCACGGACATAATTGTACCCTCGTGCGCCATGCTTTTACGTGCCACGTGCGTCCATCGTGACGCCATCCTCTCTGTGGGAACTCTTGGGCGTTCCAATCACGGGCCTTGCCTTCGCGAGTAGAAGGAGTTGTCATCTCTTCCGCGGCGGAAGGCGGCGGAAGGGGAAGGCCGGCGGAAGTACAGCGAGGCCGCCTCCGCGGGCGGAAGCCGGCGGAAGGGCGGCGGGAGGCGGCGGAAGTGAAAAACGCGTCCCCAAGAGATGACAATGTTGTGGGGCTCCTAAAACGACGCGACGATCGGACAAAATCGGATCGGGATAACTCGAAATCTCTGAGAGTCGGCGGGTTTGGAGGATGTATTGGGCGCCGCGGCCGCTCCAGAGCGTTCCGGAACGCTCTGAGAGCGCTCCGGAACGCTCTGGAGAGATTTATCCCGATCCTAGCCCTGTTTTAGCTCAGGGTTTCCGAGATCGCCCACAGGAAAGGGGGGCCGATAGTCCCACGCTCGGATCTCCCGCCCGAGGAGGGCATGCCAGCACCTCGCCGGGGGGGGGCGTTTCTCGGCTGTCGCCTCGCGCGGGCTGCCGCTGCAGTGCCGCGTGTCGGTGCGCGTGCCGGCCAGGCTGCACGGCCGCGCTGCCCGCCTCGCTCCTCGTCTTCCTCCTCCTGCCTCTGCCTCCTCTTCCCTGCGTCGTCTTCGTTGCTGCCAGGCGCTCCTCCGATGCATGCTGCGGGGCAGCATTGCTGTCGCGGTCTGCAGCCCGAGAGCTCGTTGGGCCATCGTCGCTTGGCTGGTGTGCCGAATGCTGGAAAAAGTCACCCCTCAGGACACATGAACAAATCAGTGCGACTGGGGAGCGGTGAGGATTCCAAACACGGGAGATTCGAGCCCCAGGAGAGGAGCAATCTGTAATCAGGAGCATGCAAGTCCCAGTGGAGGGCCAACATATAGGAACATATCCAGTGGAGGGCCAACATATAGGTACATACGTAAAGCAAGAAGAGATATTCGAGCACTAGTCGGAAGCACCATGTAGGAACATACGGAAGGCGCAAAGGGTTCGAGCCCCAGGAGACAGACAATGTTTAGGAACATACGTGAAGCACAATGGACTCGAGCCCCAGGAGAAGGGTGGCGAAGCCAGTGGGGGCGAAGCTTGAGACAGGGAGGAAAGCACTCCGCAAACATGTATCTCAATACAGAAAAATACCTCCTGGGGCGTCTTGGGGCCTCCTGGGGCCTCCTGGGGGCAAGGGGAGAGGGGGGGGGGGGGGGGGAAAGCGTTCCCCCAACACATACCCCAATACAGAAAATCGTCTCCAGGGGCCTCCTAGGGCTTCCTTGGGGGCGGGAGGGCCGAAGAGCATCCTCCGAACACGTACATACGGAAAAGTGCCCTTTGGGGCCTCCTGGGGCCGGATGGGGAGACCGAGGAGCGGTCCCCGCACACAGATCCCAGCGCAGAGCCTCCTGGGGCCCTCCTGGGGCCCTCCTGGGGGCAGGAGCGCCGAAGAACGCTACCCGATCTGAGATCCCTGGGAGCGTCCTGGGGCTCCCTGGCCTGGCATCGCTCGGACGTGGGCATTTTTTCTCGGCGAGGGCCATCGAGGAGCATCCTTGATCATTTGGCGAAAAAGCCACACACGAAACCGAAAAACACACAGGGAATGGACGTCCGAGCGATGGCCAGCTGGGGCCTCAAGCCTCAAGCGAGACGGCCGTTCCGGCATCCGGGAGTAGCAGCGACACCGCTCTGAAGGACCAGACCCCCTTGTAGTGCTGAAGTGCGAAGAAGGTTGAAGTGAAAAGGCCGTTCTGACATCCATGAGTAGCAGCAACTTCGGTCTGAAGGACCCCCTTGTAAGCGAACTGGCCGTTCCAGCGTCCGCAAGTAGCGGCAAGACTGCTCTGAAGGACCCCCTTTGCGGTGCTGAATTGCGAGGGGATCTCAGGCGAGAGCGCCCTCCCTGAGGTTCGGGCATCATTGATGCCCGAAAGTTGATGCCGCATCAACTTGAAAGTAGAGAAAGTTGATGGCTGCATCTCCTTGAAAGTTGATGCCGCATCTCCTTGAAACTTGATGCCGCATCTCCTTCAACCTGAAGTTGATGGCTGCATCTCCTTGAAAGTTGATGCCGGATCAACTTTCAAGGAGATGCAGCCGGCGCCGAGGCGAGAGCGCCGAAGCGCTTGCAGGCGGCCCATGGCCGCTTTAACTCAGGGCGGCCAGGCCGCCGCGCATCCTCGGCGCGCACAGGGCGCGGCGAGGTCATCCTGTCATCCGCGCCGGCGCACGGCCAGCTCGAGGACATGCGCTGGACCGCGGCGCTGCTCGCGGCGTGGGCCGTGAAGGCCGCGAGGGGAGGGCCGGTGGGCAAGAGCGGGGGCGACGTCCAGAGCTCTGGTCCGTGCAAGGCCGCGATCGCCAGCTACTGCCCGACGGTCCCCCCCGGCGGTGGCCAGCTTGCGCTGTGCCTGACGAAGACCGCCGCCAGGAATGGTGCCGACAAGGGTCTGCTCGAGAGGAACGGCGTCACGTCCGCGTGCATCACGGAGGTGAAGCACGTGCTGCGGGACTCCCCGGGCGCAGCTGCGAAGGCGAGCAAAGGCGTGATAACCGAGGAGGCTTGCGCGCAGGATGAGGCGGGACTCTGCGCGGGGCTCAGCGGCGATGCTGCCCTGCCCTGCCTCCGGGCGCACAGGGAAGAGCTGTCCAGGAAGTGCTCGAAGCAGCTCTTCCTCGTCGACCAGCTGAGGGCGGGCGACAACAGGCTCGACCTGCGCGTGATCATAGCCTGCCAGGCGGACCTCATGGACCCGGAAAGGTGCGGCAAGATGGACAAAAAAAATACGGCCTCCGCGCGCGCAAAGTGCCTCTTTGCGCAGCAGCAGGACACGCTCTCCGAGAAGTGCAGGCTCTCCTTGGCCAACATGGAGGCGGTGGACAAAAATGCACAGGGGGCCAAAGAGGGAGGAGGGGGTCCCTCGGCGATGGCGGCGGCGGGAGGCGACGTCGAGACACAACGCATGTGCAAGGAGAAGATGAGGGAGATCTGCGGAGGCCAGCCGAGGGACGATCTGCCCTCCTGTGTCGAGCTGCACATGAAGGATCTCCCCGCAGAGTGCCACGCGGCGACAAGGCCGCGCTAGCGCGCCGCTGAGACCCGATAGGGCCACACATCCTGGCCTCAGAACACACACGCAGGCGGGCACGGCCTTTGAAGTGGGGGCAGGGGAAGGAGGGGAATGCAACCTGAGGAGGAGCGGGGCAGAATGAGGACGTGTGGGAGCGTGGAGGGAGAGGGAAGCAGGATTGAGCAGAGCATACGTCTTGCTGCATTCCTGTTGCCAGCTTTTCTGGGGGAGGAGGTCGGATGGAGGGCTTGGGAGGAGGAGCTGGAGGACTCCCTCTCGCCCTCCGCAGCTGCTGCACACAACCATGGGGGATGCTGTCCGGGATGCTGCGCCACTTTGTCGTAAAGGCGCTGGCCTTTGAGGCCAGATTGTGCTTCCCAGCAAGTGCGAGGCTGTTGCGCTCTGTGGTGCTGCGCAGCGAATTGGTCCCATGGCTTCCCCTCCCCAGCTTTCGACTCCCTTTGCTCATCTTTGTCCTGTGACGTGCCTTTCTCGTCCTCCTCCCTCGTTCGCTGTCCATGGCGTCTAGCTGCTGCATCTCCAGGAGTCCAGGCCAGGATAATTATTATGCACACGAACGAACGAAGTTTCGTGCGTTCTATCGCCCGCCTTTTCTTGAGACCTGATTCGGCGCCTCGCGCTGCGTGCAGGGGCTGTGCTAGCTGAGACACGGCCGCCGATGGCAAAAACACAAGACAACAGCGCCTGCACAAGTTTCAGTTATTAGCACTGAATGACAACAACAATCCTCTTGCCAGTCAACACGCACATGTGTATATATATATATATGTATCCCAAGCCCTCGATATCCGCCCTCTTTTTGTGTTCGATCACACCCCTTGAGGGCAATTCTTTGTTACCTGCAACGTATAGCTGGCGCATCCCCCAGAACGCGGGAGGAGAGGAGGAACAAAGGGACAACGGGGAGAGCGAAGGAAGGAACACGACAGGGAACAGGAGGCGCCCTGCTGCAGGCTCGACGGCCTGCGGCGGAAGGTGGCGCGAGCGCGCTCGGCCCCCATCCCTCCTGCGCAGGGGGCGGGCATCAGGAAGCGTATGGTCGGCGGCGGGCGCGGGGGGAAAGTGAGAGGGACAAGGTCCTCTCAGAAGGCAGCGGGGCTTCTCGGAAGCCCTCTGGCCTCCCGAGAGGTTTCCTGTGCCTTCGGGTGAGCAGGAGGGGAGCTCGGAGCAGAGGAGCAGGCGGCGGAGCCAGACGGCGGGGCGGGCGGGGCGGGCAGGGCGGTCCCAGGCGGCCGGGTCGAGCGGGCGGGTCGCCGAAGCATCAGTCCTGCACTTAGTTGCCTCGATGCGCCCGTTTTGAAACGCAATACGTCCCGTGTTCAAGACGTCCGTGCCAATACGTTGCGCGTTGGCTCCACGTATTGGACCACGTTTTGTCGAATGTATCGCGTCGGACCTACGTTTTCAGCCTACGTGTTGATCTCCGTATCAGTACGATACGTGTTGCGTGTTGCGTATCGGGGCAGCTAAGGTCCTGCATGAATCGCGAGAAAGTCTCGAGCGACAGCGCGATTCCCATGTACATCTTGAGGAAATCCACACCGAGAGCGCGATTCCAGCCTGCTCCTGCCTGTTTTGGGCGTGGCGATTCAGTAAGCTGCGAGGAAGTTTTACGCGAGGGCGCGATTCCTGGATACACTGTGAAACAGTCCCGCGCGAGAGCGCGATACAACAAAAGTTTGAGGAAGTGTCAGACGGGAGCCGTTGTTGTGGTAGTTCGGTGGCCAGGGGCGCAGCCTGAGGCTTAAGATTTTTAGTTGGTACGAAAAAAAACGGGCCCAGGGAAGAGGCTTTGATTGAACAGCGCAATGGGCATGGGGGGGATCAGCCGACAGTATTCTGTGGAATTGAGAATTGAACCACAAGAACAACAACACTCAGTTTGAGTTTGTTCGCTCTTATCTGCTCGCGTGCCATTCGATACGCATGTTTATCCCGAACAGCATCCCGAACCCTCGATACCTGCCATCATCGTCTTCGACTGTACCCCCTTGGGGGTATATCTTTCTTACCTGCAACGTGTATTTCGCGCAGATCCTGAGGCGGGGGAAGAGAGGGCGAATGGAAGGAAAGGGACAAGGGGGATGGAGGGGGATGGAGCACGGCAGAACCAGACGGGCAGATCGGGCGGGTAAACCCTCCCAGGCGGGTCGGGAAGGAGGGCCCAGGCGGCTAGGTCGAACAGGCAGGCGGGTTGCTGAAGCGTGCGTCCTGCGTGAATCGCGAGAAAGTCTCGAGCGACAGCTCGATTCGCAAATCAATCGTGAGGAAATCCACAGCGATTGCGTGACTCCTGAATGTCGAGGGCGCGGCTTCTGAATAAATTGCGAGGAAGTCCCACGCGACAGCGCGATTCCTGAATCCACTGTGAGGAAGTCCCGCGCGAGAGCGCGATTTGGGAATTCATTGTGAGGGAGTATCAGGCGGAAACCATTGTTGTTGTAGTTCGGGGGCCAGGGGCGCAGTTTAAGGCGGAAAGTGTTCCATTACTGTGGTTGGTGGTTCCCGCGATGCTCGCGTGAAGACATGAAGACATGAAGACACAAAGGCCTAAGCAGGGTCCGACGACATGCAGGCGTGAAGACATGAAGACATGCTGCCCCGCCCGACGACATGAAGGCGTGAAGACATGAAGACGTGTTGCCCTGCCCGACGACATGAAGACATGAAGACGTGCTGCCCTGCCCGACGGCATGACGACACGAAAACATGAAGACATGCTGCCCTGCCTGGCGACATGAAGACATGAACACATGAAGCTCAGGTCGTCAAGTCTTCATGTCTTCATGCCGTCGGGCCGATTTTCCGCGATCGCAGCAGGAACGGCGCCGTCTTCACGTCTTCATGTCTTCATGTCTTCAGGCCTTTTCCCCCCCTCCTGTTTCTCCTCTCCTCGTCCTGCTCTCCCGTTCTCCTTTTCTCCTTCCACCTTCCCCATGGTTCTTTCCGCATCCTCATCATCTTCCTTGTTTTAGTCCTCGTCGTCGTCGTCATCTTCTTCCCAGCCCTAGTGCAACTTCGGGGTCGAGCTACACTTATACACGGACTGCTAGAGGCAAGGTGCACAGGTGGGGCCAGCAAGGGTGGCCGTCCCGATTGAGCCCTGACGGCTCCCGAGAATTGAGTCTCATGGACCCTTGCCGGCGAACTCCTCGAATTCAGTGGGAGGAGAAGCAGGCTTCCCGACTGAGGTTTCCAGTCTTTGTTGTGGCATGTCTTGAAGCACCGCCTTGGGGGGCCCCTTATCATCACCACCATAAGTATCATGATCAGCATCATCATCATCGCCATCATCATCATCATCATCATCATCATCATCAGCATCATCATCATCAGCATCATCATCATCATAATCATCATCATCAGCATCATCATCATCATCAGCATCATCAGCATCATCAGCATCATCATCATCAGCATCATCAGCATCATCATCATCATCATCATCATCATCATCATCATCATCATCATCATCATCATCATCATCATCATCATCATCATCATCATCATCATCATCATCATCATCATCATCATCATCATCATCATCATCATCATCATCATCATCATCATCATCATCATCATCATCATCATTATCATCTCCCCCGTCGTCGTGTTTCCTTTTTCCTCCCTCATTCCCCTTTCTTCCTTTAGTTGGGAAAGCGGACGATGGCGGCGGCGGGAGCGCTTGTTTCGGGAAAGCGCGATGTTCCGTGATCAGCCGCGGCCAGATGCGGAAGGAAGGATGAGTTGGAGGATAAGGAGGAGGGGCGGTGGAGTAATAAGGGAGCTGCAGACATGGAGGGGGGGAGAGGGGGATGGGGAGGAAGAGAGTGAGAATGGGGCAGTTGGTACGGCTGGGCCGCAGAGGCTGGGATAGCGACGCTGCTCGGATATATCGGGCCCTGGAGTCTTCGATCCATCGAGCCCTCAAGCCCTCATACCCTCGAGCCATCGATTCCTCAAGCACGGGTATTAGAGGCAGGAAGGGGACGGTGCAGGAGGAGGAGGAGGAGGAGGAGGAGGAGGAGAAGCAAGAGCAGGACTAGGAGGAGGATGAGGAGGAAGAGGAGGAGGAGGAGAAGGCTCTGCCATGCTATGCGATGCAATGCGATTATATGCTTGGCTAGTGTGCCCTTTGCTATGCGATGCCATGCTATGTTCTGGTATGCCATGCGATGCTAACCTACGATTTGCAATGGCATGACATGCCATGCTGAGCTACGCCACACTACACTATGATACGCTATGCGTTGCGACACAATGCGATGTGGTGCCAGGATATGCCATCATCTGCTATGAAATGCTGTGCGACGCGATGCTGGGCGATGCTATTCGATGCTGTTGTGTCCTCTGTTATGTGATGCCGTGCTCTAGTATGCGATCCCATGCTACGTTTTCTGCCATGTATGAGCCATATGAGCCCTATGAGCCCTATGAGTCTCATGAGCCCCCTGGGCCCTCTGAGCATCATGAGCCCTATGACCCCTATGAGCCCTATGAGCCGCATGAGCCCTACGAGTCATATGAGCCTGGTGAGCATGTCTTCATGTCTTCATGTCGTCGGGCCGATTTTCTGCGATCTCATGCAGGAACGGCGCCATCTTCAAGATTTTCATGCCTTCATGTTTTCAGGCCTTTTCTCCCTATCCTGTTTCTCCTCTCCTCGTCCTGCTCTCCCGTTCTCCTTTTCTCCTTCCACCTTCCCCATGGTTCTGTCCGCATCCTCATCATCTTCCTTGTTTTAGTCCTCGTCGTCGTCATCTTCCCAGCCCCAGTGCAACTTCGGGGTCGAGCTACACTTATACACGGACTGCTAGAGGCAAGGTGCACAGGTGGGGCCAGCAAGGGTGGCCGTCCCGATTGAACCCTGACGGCTCCCGAGACAATTGAGTCTCATGGACCCTTGCCGGCGAACTCCTCGAATTCAGTGGGAGGAGAAGCAGGCTTCCCGACTGAGGTTTCTTGTCTTTGATGTGGCATGTCTTGAAGCACCGCCTTGGGGGGCCCCTTATCATCACCACCATAAGTATCATGATCAGCATCATCATCATCGCCATCATCATCATCATCATCATCATCATCATCATCATCATCATCATCATCATCATCATCATCATCATCGTCATCACCATCATCACCATCATCATCATCATCATCATCATCATCATCATCATCAGCATCATCATCATCATCATCATCATCATCATCATCATCATCATCATCATCATCATCATCATCATCATCATCATCATCATCATCATCATCATCATCTCCCCCGTCGTCGTTTTTCCTTTTTTCCTCCCTCATTCCCCTTTCTTCCTTTAGTTGGGAAAGCGGACGATGGCGGCGGCGGGAGCGCTTGTTTCGGGAATCCGCGATGTTTCGTGATCAGCCAAGGCCAGATGCGGAAGGAAGGATAAGTTGGAGGATAAGGAGGAGGGGCGGTGGAGTAATAAGGGAGCTGCAGACATGGAGGGGGGGAGAGGGGGATGGGGAGGAAGAGAGTGAGAATGGGGCAGTTGGTACGGCTGGGCCGCAGAGGCTGGGATAGCGACGCTGCTGGGATATATCGAGCCCTGAAGTCTTCGATCCATCGAGCCCTCAAGCCCTCATACCCTCGAGCCATCGATTCCTCAAGCACGGGTATTAGAGGCAGGAAGGGGACGGTGCAGGAGGAGGAGGAGGAGGAGGAGAAGCAAGAGCAGGACTAGGAGGAGGAGGAGGAGGAGGAGG